TTTAACCACAAGCACAATCATCATTGTTTAAACATGAATAATTTGAATTTTAAAATGTAATTTAAGACTGTTATATGGAATACTTACCTAACTTAAATGTATTTGAATGTGTAATTAATACACTGGAATTTGGTATTTGAGTTAGAGAAATTAAAATAAATTTATATTTTTTATTTATGTAATACCTACCTAATACATGCACCTAATTATAAAAATTAAAAATATATGGTACATGCTTGAGACATTTTCAGTTTAACATTGGGTGAATTTGATGATTAAAAAAAAAATTATTTACACAAACATTTTTTTTTTTTTACTTACGTAACATGTAATACAATAATGTATTGATCTTTAAATGTATTTTTTAGTTATATTTGCGTGCATTCACACCATAAGTAGTCGAAATAAAGTTTTGATTTTCAACTTCAATAACATTTCTGGTGTGAAAGTGAATCTAATTAGTGTATTAGTCTAATTGGTGTATTAGTGTTTAAGAGATCAACATTTCAAATTCTCAGTAGTTCTCAAAARCGTCGGGAAAAATGAATACATCCCATATTTATATTATCACCTATAGTCAATTTACCTACCATGAATCCTGCTGGTATTCTCCAATAATTTCTTTAATAAACGGTTTCAATCTGTTCATTTAGATAATATTTTGTATGAAATKTTTAACAGAGAAATTCCTCTATAGTTCTTTGGGTCAATTTAATTTCCCTTTTTATATACTGAGCATATAGGACAGATATCCTTCATGAATCTGGAATCTCTTCCTGTTCCAAAATATCAGTGATTAGTTTATGAAATCGTTGAAACCGCTACTTTCCTCCTTTTTTTGAGCATTCAGAAACTATTTCATCAATCATTGGAGCATTTCTATTTCTTGTATTGTTGATTTGTCCAAAAATTTTTCCACTGTACATTAACTTCTACTGTGGTCTGTGGTCCTATTTTCTGGTTGATTCAACTTTTCCTCAAACATTTTTAAATTCGTTCGCTATTTTTTCTTTATCTATTAAAATCTCGATTAAAATAGTTCCATCATCCTTTCTTATCATAGATGATTTTGGCATGTAACCTGTTATTACATTATTCACTTTTTCGAAGAAAACTTTTGTGATTGTTATTGTTTGTTATTTCCGTAATTCTTTATTTTTCCTATTGTCTCCTCTTCACTATTTTTATAGTTCTTTTTGCCTCTCTTTGTTTATTTGCTAGAGTTTGTTTGTTTTCATTCCTTTGGTTCTCAATCACCTTCAGGCGTGCTTTATTCCTTATATCTAAGGCTTTTTTTTGCATATTTCATAAAACTATATTTTTGTTTTTTCACTTTGTGTGTTTTCCAATATTCTTTCGTATACAATTTAAATTAAATAAAGGTAATTATGTTTACTTATTTCAAATTCATGTAAAATTGAATTTAAAATATTTTGGAATTTGTAGTGTTTATTAACAGCGACATAAATGGCTGTTTTTAATTTTTATCCTACAGACTAGAGTAATAATTTAGTTTTAAAAATACATTGTTTTCAGTGATAAATAACAAATGTATAGTCTTATACATGTAATAACTTGAAATACAATCAAATTACATTTGATACTAAATAAATAGTTACTACTGAATTAAAGTAATATTAAAAATATATTTATCAAAAATAAAATAATATATAATACAACTTAGGATTCAGAAAAACATACTATAAATATAAAATAATGTCAATCATTAATATTAAATACTGAATAAATTTTTACAGTATAATGTACTATATTATATAGTTATATTATTACCATGTCTGTAATAATTGGTTTTTTTTTTTCATCTAATGAATAGGTCAAAGTTATCTTACCTTTGAATAAGTGCAACTTTCTATACGCCCCTTTAATTCCCTAAACATAAAATTTTTCAGGTAAATATTTATAGTTTAAGAATAAGTTACACAATTTTGCATACTTTTTCAATTTTTTCTTTTAGTTGGGCACAGTTTAAAGGATTGTTTTTTAACTGAAGAACTTCTGTTGGTGTAATTCCAATTAAATGTTCCAATACCTAAAAGAAAAATTATACATATACTTTACTCTGTGTGCATATAAAATGATAATAACTAATAAGACATTCATGACCTAATTTAAAATATAAACTTATGTATTATTATATTTATTAGAATTAATTTTTACTTTTACTTATTAGTTTAGACTTACATCTGATGAGAATTCAGCTTCTTCATGTTTAGATTCATCCATCACGATACCAGAACATATCCATTCGTTTTGTTTCACTTGTATTTTTGAGTTCTTCACAATAGAAGCAGAATTTATGACTTTAATCAATGGGTTTGAAACATCAATATGCATATCAATATCACCCCAATCATCATCTGGTCTGTGCAGTTCAATTGATGGCTTTTTAGTTTCAGTATATACTGGCGAACTAGCAATACGTTTCCCTGATATTTGTTTAACATTCATGCTATTGCTACTATCATTTTGAAACCTAGTTGGTTCAGCTACTGAACTTCTAGATGCTGTTGAAGTACTTGGAGCTAACATATCAGATATTTTAGTCTGTCTTCCAGTAACTGCTGGCTTCTTATTTGTTATGTTGTTTTTAGGAACTGAAATTTTAGTATTATTGACATTGGTATTATTTAGGGGTGTATTAAATGTTTGTAATGGTACTGAATTTGTCTCATTGGATTGAGTGAGTCTTGTTTCAATTTCTGCCATTTGAGTCAGATATAACAAATCATCATCACCATCAAAAAAATCATCATACTTCACAAATATATAAAAAAAAATCAATAAAATACCTAGAATGAACATATAATATTGAATACTTACTGTAATAGTTCCATTTCCAATATGGTTGCTATTATTACTTTGATTTGTATTAGTTGGGGGTATTGTAGAGTTCTGTTCTCGTATACCAACTGCAGAAACATTTTCTATCTGTCTAGGTGKAATAATATGTGGTTCATGTTCTTCCATAACAGCGTTTTCGACTTCAATATTTGAAAAAATGTATGGATTTTCTAATTCGGGTTTGTTTCTAAAAAAATATTTTGTAAGATTAAATGAATAAAGATTACAAAGTTTGCAATGAAATACTTACAGGGCCCTACATAATACATTTAATGGTGCATTTTTAATTAATAAATGTTCAACCTCGCCACCAATGAAGTGTACATTACTAGATTTTAATAGTAACACTCCTTTTCTATATTCAACTGGACCAACAACCACTATCTGAAACAACAATTTAAAATCTATTTATCATCCACAGAGCAGCTTACTTAAATTTAATTAGAACATACTTTGAAGCCAGGTATAAATGGTTCTTTAAGACATTGCAATGGCTCATATTCCATAGCTACTATATCCTGTTGACCATCAGAACACATCATCTTTAACATTCTATGTGATTTAGGTTCCCAAGGGGCTGGTTTATTATCACCAATTTCAGTATTACTAGTATCTCTTTTTACTAATATGTTGTATTGTGAATAACATGATTGGCCAACATCTAGAATGGTATTCACCTATAAGTTTAAGAACATGTTTGTACAATGATATTAAGAATAAAGTTATTGGATAAGATATGGAAACCAGATGCCTTGAATGGCTCATMTTTAATATTTATTATTACTATGATAAATTTAAATTCTTGACTACAGCATTTAACCTGGCTGTACTAATTAGTTTTATTAGAAATATTTTTTTGTATTGGAGATTTCCAATTTATATAATGAAAGTAAAAAGAAATCGAACACGCAGCAGTAGTATGTCAGTTAGGTATTGTCACGTAAAATAAAAACATTAAAAGCAATAATTAATCAATGAATTATAACATCCATTCAGAGTTGCAGCTTGCTAAGCTTACTTTGATATTTTTTTTTGATACTGTAATTATTACACGTACAGAAAAAACTGAGAAAATTGAAACAACTAATATGTATTATAAAATAAATAGATAAGCCTACGTTGAAATGTTACAACATTTTCCACTGGGAAAAAATCATAAAAATAGATAATAAAAAATAAAAATAATCTATATTAGTTGTTTTGTTTAAAATCTAAAATAAAATATACTCACTCAAAAATTATTAAATGTATGGATAAAATATAATTACAAAATACCTGAAGGCAATATTTTCCGGTTAAAACTTTTTTATCACAATTATTTAAATTGGCTGGTAAACTGAACAATGCAATTTCTTGAAAATCAGATAAACTTAATTGTTCAATCACCATTGCCGATAAACCTTTTGCATCACACTRAAAATAAAATAATTAAAGTTATCTGTTAATAATTTTACTTATTTTCATATCTTTTCATTAATTACATTTRGATTATCAGACATAAAGAATTCCACACATTGCTTAAACCATTCGTTTTCGGATGATATTATAATATGAGAATTCTCCAAATGACGAGTTACACGATTGTGCATTTCTATATTGGAAATAGCCATCGCGCAGGTTTATATTTTGATATCACTCGAATCTAATAGATAAACAAATTAAATACAAACAGATTTAATTAGTGAATTGAATGGTACATAAAAAGTATTAGGAATCATGAATTTAATAAAATATAATAATTGATTATAAACACTTTAACCAAAACATTTTACTATAAATATCAGGTTAGAAATGTCAGGTAGCAATACGCATGTAACATGTTGGATATTAAAAGTCTGAAMACTCTTTTAACYATAGTTAATTGCACAGTAAAAATAATTTTCACTTAAATTTACTAAACATAATATAATGGAAAATAATATTAAATAACTAGTTGAGTAAATTAAACGGTCGAGATAATATTACCCTTAAAACATAATATTTGCTATACACATGAAATACAGATGATATAACTATTTAAAATAAATATACAACTAATGTACAAATGTATAAATATTTACAATAAAAGTAATAGGTAACCTAATTCAAAATAATTTTTAAAATTCAATACGTTTAACTTTTGACGGCAAAATTCAAAATTAGGCGCTWCAATCTCACTTTATCAAATTTCTTATCATTATTCACCTAGTTTATAAAATTAATTTAATCACAGGTATTTGATTTTTTGATAAGAAAATAAATCCAGTGATAAAAATATTAACTGGATGTAAATACTTGACAGGGTGGAAATAAAACACTGTGAAAAACATAATGGACAGGGAAAAGGGCCGAAAATCTGATCAGAAACATCCAAGTAAGTAGTGTAGTTAGTAAATTAGTACGATTTTAAAAGTGTATTCRTATTAGCAACGAATCTCGTCGGGTTATAAATGGGATTAATTTCTCCACCGCTGTCGTTTTACGCGCTTGATAAAATACGGTTTAGAACGTCGTATTACTTTTTGYGAACTATGATCCAGAATGTTGAGTTAATAAGAAGTAAGACGTGACATTACTTACTTTTGATGGTCGTAATTGAATATGTTATGTTTACGAAAAAATCGTAAATATTGAAAAATGAATATGTAAACAAAACAACAGAACGAACAGTGTACCCGGATGAAGCGGACGTCGAGCCGTCGAGGACAACCTGTGAAAGACTACCCACCGACGACTGGTTGATGATAAGGCGATCTGTTATCTTCTGTAAACACAACCACGTGCATAATGAAATAATGATTATGATTCGTATAATATTCCTCACGTCAAGTAACAATACTGAACGCCGAACGGAGGACTCTCGATAAATAGTGACRTACACTATACACAATATTTGAATGTTTATCGTATTTTGGTGAACACCGATTGCTGCCACTACCCCGCCAGTATTAATTATTAAAATTAATTTCCGTCGATTTTGTCACCAAAAATCATGTTACGCCGGCAAGCTCGACTCCGGCGCGAGTACCTGTACCGGAAGAGTTTGGAAACCCGTCAGAAGGTGATCCAGGACAAGAAGGAACGGTTGAAACACTGTCTGGACGAGAACGTTCCAATTCATTATGACTTGCGCGCAGAGGCATTGCATTTGCAAGAAAAACTAGAATGGGACGACGGGGCACCAGGGCTGTCGGCCATCGGCGGTGGCGAGGAGGGCGGTGCGGGCACTTCGCACGAGGACGATGAGTACCGTTGGGCCGGTGTCGAAGACCCGAAAATCATGATCACCACGTCGCATGACCCGTCGGCCAGGCTGAAAAAGTTCGTCAAGGAGCTCAGGCTGATATTTCCAAATGCCCAGCGAATGAATCGTGGTAACTATGAGATCAAGCAATTGGTCCAAGCCTGTCGGGCAAACGAGGTTACCGATTTCATTGTTGTGCACGAGCACAGAGGTGTCCCGGACACATTGATCGTTTGTCATATGCCATATGGCCCAACGGCATATTTCAACTTAACAGATGTGGTCATGAGGCACGACGTGCCTGATATTGGTACAATGTCTGAACAGTATCCACATTTGATTTTCCACAATTTTGAAACCCCGCTCGGTAAAAGAACAATGAACATTTTAAAGTATTTGTACCCGGTTCCTAAAGAAGACAGCAAGAGAGTCATTTCTTTTGCCAACCATGATGACTATATATCGTTTAGACACCATACTTACAAGACAGTAAGGTTTATTTTAATCAATAATATACTTTCATTTCAGTTATTTAATGGAAAATGTTTTTAGGTGGATGGTAACAAAATTGAAATGAGTGAAGTTGGTCCTCGTTTTCAATTGAAACTTTACCAAATAAAATTAGGAACCTTAGAATCAGCTGATTCCGCAGATACAGAATGGATGTTAAGACCTTATATGAACACTGCATCCAAGCGAAGATTCCTATCATTAAATGATGGATGGGCTCAAGATGACACGATTTTTTCTTAAACAGTGATTGTTCGATTGTAAATAAAAAAATTAACCTAAATAGTTGTATTTTTATTTAATGATGCGATAAATTCCAATACTAAACTTTTCATCATGTGTATTAGAACTGTAAGAAAAGTTCAACTTGTATTTTAAAAATAATAGTACCACTAAAATCATTGGAGAACAAAAATGTATTGCAAAACATATCTGAATTCGTATTTTTTCTTGATTATTATTTTATAAAATTTAATATTTCGTATAATAAATAATAGTAAATACTAATTACTGGCGGTGACAAAATCTTTAGCTGGTCAGCTAACACTTAAATAGGCAAATAAAATTATATAATCATTATAATCTGATTCCCCCTATAAATTTTTAAATACAATAAGCAATAAAGTTATTAAAACACATATATGTCGAATGACAGTTTAAAGTTATCAAACAACGCTATTTGTTGTACTTTTTAGCAAAGATGTAAACATTTATATGACTGTCATTGAGCAATATATATATAATATATTGAAGAAAAAGTAGTTTAATGTTACATCTACGTACTTATAAAGCTATACTACTACAAATATACTAACTTTAAAGAAATAAAAATGTTTTAATTAACATGCAAATGTTTTGAATTCAAAACGGCTTATAATACTCACTATATAGACTTAGACAGGAAAACACGGCTTCTTGGTTCTTTTTTACATTTAAAATTTAAAAAAAATAATTTTTGATCATCCACTATGAATTTAATTAAAAGTTTAAATCAATTTAACGTAGTACACTCCATAAGCACCTAATGAAACCATGAAAGTATATTTTGATTTTTGATCAAGACTTCACAATTAATCACGAGTGTCAGTGTGTCACTATGACATAACACAAAATTGAGCACAGTGTGAGATAATACTAATTATTATTTATTACTAAATAGTAAACTAAACTAAACTAAACTAAAAACTAAACTCGATAGTCGATACTCGACCACAGAATAGATACAACTGAGTAGTGATTATTCGACTCGACGTCCTTTAAGTTCAGTAGCTTATTTATTGTTATCATAAGTTATCATTTTAAACGGTTTTTATCTCTGTGAAAAGACGGCGACCACGGAAATATATATATATTATACTCCAAAAATAGAATCTTAATTGAAATATTGGTCATAATGATAAATTATTGTTCGTTCTGTTATTACTTTAAAAGTTGCTAACTTTAACTTACTAAAATACTAACCGATGRAATACAATGAAGTATTGTAATATGTACAATTCTACAAGCTAGCTATAAATACAAATTACTATTATTGTAATATCCAAATATGTTTCTACATTCTACACCTTAATAAATAGAAACGGCTTATTACTGCTTATTTAGATTGATCGACTGACCTGTCTTGTCCAACGTCCATAGTTACTCACTCAAAATTGTGCAATATTTTAAGGTTTTATTTGATAACGAAAATTTTCGATTGATGGTAACTAAACTTATTTGTTACCAAATGATGAATTAGTGCACTGTAATTGTCAATAACAATATTATCATACATTATTATTCTAACATTTTSTGTGTTCAATGTTTAAGACGAACCGGAAGTAACAGCGGTTTCGAGATCTGGACGAATCATAAAGAAGTCTTCCAAATTGCTTGATTTTGAATCGTCGGACTCACGTACGTAAAAAATCGTTTAATAATCAAAAACGAACGTTTAGCTTTATGTGTGTGTTTTACAAAATGTTAACTATTGTCTTGCAGAAGAAAAAGAAAAAACGCCCAAGTCGTCGAAACAAAGTTCAAAAAGACAATCGTCCAACCACGAGCCACTTGATCAAGTCAGTATTTTGTATTTTTTTTTTTTGTTTTTTTTTTTTAAAACCTAGAGTATAAAAATCGTATCATTTTACCGCGTACCTATTATATCGTCAAGAGGATATTGTATCGTGCACGACCAACAGTTCTAACTTTGTTAGTTTCTAAGTGAACTCTGAGCATTTTCAAATATTTATTTTTTACTTATCATACTTAGAAATTTAATTATTATTTAAAACCAACTTCAGAACAYKGATAATGTTYTTAAATTTAAGTTTGATAATAGGAAAATTTGCTCTAAAATTTAAGCTACCAACACAAAATTGGAACTGCTGTAGTGCTGTGGATGTTTTGATATTCTATGTGTTAKKAATATAGGCACAACATGTGCAGGTATGATGTTCTCTTAAATGTCAATAAAAAAATAAGTAATAACTAYGGATAATAAAGTAACACTTTTTCTCAGTTTAATGAAGACGATAACAGTATGGAATTTTTAGAAGATCAACAACACACCGAAAGCGGTGAATGGACAGTAGACACCAAAGATTGTGGTGAGTACATAACAATAAACACATTTARTAAGAATAAAGTATGTATCTAYATTGTGATTGAGRGCAAAGATCCTCCAATTAATATGTGMATTATGAATTATATTTTTCAATTGSAAACAATAATTATGTTATTTAATGGTTAAAATTTGTCTTTCACTGTTGATGATATCACTCATAAATTTAAACATTATAATTTAAATGGTTATAGATGACACTGAACCCAGCGGTACTTCTGTATCAGTAGGAGAACACAATCAAGTATATTTTTTCTTTCTTGTTTTACAGATATATTGTATATGCCTAATACAAWTTTTTTTGYATTTGTTTAGTTTATGTATGCTCTCAAAAATTTAAACATGAAAGAGCCAGGGTTTGTGGCATATGCATTGTGGGCTAAAGAAGTGCGCAAGACTTTGATGAATGCTTATCCAAACTTTAGTAAGTTTTTGCAATATCTTGTAATTGCTGTTAATTGATTTTTAACTATGAATCAATTTATTAAGGTGCATCACAAATTAACCAACAGCTCAGAGACATGTGGAAATCTGTACCGACTGAAGATAAAAGTGTAAGTTTCAGTTAATGAAATTATGAATCTAATAATTTATTTTTAATTTTGTAGCGATGGGTACGCAAGGCCAAGAGATTATTAGAACGTGAAGGATTGGATGATAATAGTACAAATGATTCAAAAATAACAGTTTTAAAACCAACCTCAGAAATTATTGATAATTCAATAGATGCTAGCAATAAGTAAATACAATTTGACATAATACATTAGAGTAGCCACTAGATGTCTAAATGTGTTGTAATTTTATTGTTTAAAATATTCAGAAATAAACCTAAAATAGAGCCGCTAAGATCGACRCAGCCTATTGATGTAGCAGCTCATTTGGCTTTACTAGGTGAATCATTGGGTATAATTGGTCAAAGACTGAAAGAACATCAGGTGAGCAGATTAGTAGGACTAACTTTAAAATACTTTTTCTTTCTTATTGCCAACCATGTATTTATGTTGTGTGTTCAGGGCCAGATAGCTGTAAATGGAAGTGTATCGGTTCTTCTAGATTCTCTGTTATGTGCCTTGGGACCTCTACTTTGTCTTACTCAACAAGTTACAGAAATTAATGTGAACTCCCAAGAAACAATGTCGAGGCTAATGGACGATATCGCTTATATAATGCCAGGATTGTAAAAAAAATTAAAGTGGTTGTTGGATTTTCCTGTATGTTCATAATTTTTACTAGTGATGGGCATAATCGAGATATCTCGATTATTAAAATAATATCGATCATATAATCGAGATATTTTGAATTTTRATTATATAATAATCGAATGATCTTTTTTCGATGATATCTCGTTTATTTTGAAAACAATGATTACTAATTATTTTATAATTATAAGTAGATACTTATTAATTTAATGTTTATAGTTATACACGTACAGTGGCGTGACGGACCATATTTGAGACACATGCCTCAGTTTTAGAGGTGGTGGGTGTCCTCATAGATCATCTGATGTGTTAAAAAATCATTACTATTTAAATGAATAAATATATTTTATCTTAAGACATTTTTTTAATGTTTTTTGTGATRGGTGGAGTGGGTGGTTGGTCTATGGGTCTGACAATATAACTGTGCCTCATAACTTAATGAAGTTCACCACGCCACTGTACACATATAATAATGTATAAAATATTACGAGTTGTAATTAATTGTATTAAWCTATTTACCGTTTTTAATGTTTTTATGAATTTCTATATTTTTCAAAGGTTTAAATATTAAATAAAACGTGTAAAAATATTTTACTATTTTATTAAAAATTAAAATGTTTAAATAAATTTATAACGCATCGAAATGTTTCTATTATTCAGTACTCAGTAGCATAATAAGAAATAACGAAACAATTTCTGTAGTATAAACATTAAAAGCTAAGAATCTATATTTCTTACCAATTAAAATCAATTTATTTAAAAATTTGGTTAAAAGTCTTGATAACTAATTCGATTATGGCAATATCTTGATTAATAATGTTTCAATCGGAATTTGGTAGTTTYGAATAATTATTTTGAGTGATATCTCGATTATGGAAATGTCTCGATTACTAATCATTCGATTATGCCCATCACAAATTTTTACYAATTTATGATATGAAATAATATAAATGTTTAGAGTAAGCTAATAGCAATCATTGTACAAAATGTATATATTTGTGTTGCATTTTAAGCTTTTTTTCCAACATGATTTTTTTTTTAGTATCATAGTACAAAACATTTATTTATCTTTGTATTATTATTTATAGACAACCAAATAAAACAAATATAAAAATAATCATGTGAATTAGCATTATTTTTTCCTATTGCTCATTTAATTTAATTTCTAAATCTAAGAAGAACTGCATAATATAGGTACAGGGCATATAATATAGTTTGATAATTATCAAACTTGAAGATATAATATGAGGACATTGGGTATAGGATGAGCTTTTAAAAAATTGAATACAGTTTAAAATGCAAAAAAAACACAACTATATTTTTTCATTATTTTGTTATCTTACAAATAAACTTTAACACACTTAAATTAATTTATTCTAAACTCAACTAAAAGCATATTAACACATAACATTATTTATAATTTATTCACTTAACAAGTGATTATGACAATATGATCAAATATGTCACTGCAAAAGTGAACTATTGGCATTACCTATATTTTTATATTTACATACACATAGGTTTGTACAAATAAATTACAATTTGAAATAAATGCGAATGGTGTGATATAATATATTATATTAATTGTTTTTAACATGATTGTATCTACTAATTAAGTAATCAAATAAATTAGTTTATATAAAAAACCCATTTGTAAAGATGGAACAATATATAAATCATATTATGTTGTTTGAAAATKTATAGTTCTTATGACTTATAATATACAAACAATAGTTTAATAGTATTAATAATATATATGGTAGTACAATTAACTGGAAAACATATTTTACGGTTAAATTATTTATGGCCTAATTTAACATTTTTTTTGTTTTTTGTTTTTACACAATTAATAATTAGTACATAAAATACAAGTAGGTACACGTTTGATTTAGTAAGCATTTAAAGCAAAAATTGTATAGCTAAATAGTATGTTAAATCTAATGGAGTTAAACCAGTGGAGAGGTATGAGTCTAAATACTCGGGGAGATGTCGAAAAAAAAATATAAATTGGGTGTAATGATAATATTATTGATACTAATATTTAGACAATGTCATACTAGAAATAAACTAACCACAATAAAGAGTTTTGAGGAGGTTGATAACACRAGATCAGTAACTGAGTAATATGATTGCTTAAGATAAAAAAAAAAACAAAAATAAAAATCCTGAGACATGCTCATAGCATAGTTATAATTTATGCCTGTTTTCCAATTACCCTACAATCATTGTGTCCTATGAAGCTTCATCACTGCTATAAACTACAAATCATGGTTTGTTATGTATATTTGACTTTCTGTGGCGAAAAAAACTTWATGAATCTACCACATAAAGTCCTATCAAACTGAAATGATCCTGGATAATATTAATATAATACTATAACACGTCTTAATATATTATATAGTTAAAACTATAAAAGTGAAACAATACATGGTAAAATAAGTGTAAAATAAGTAGAAAATAATGGTATACATCTGAATTTTATGAAAATAATAAATAGACGTATTGAGATATAAAAGATATTAATTTAGCCATGAAATTTTCAAAAACTAAAAAAGTAGAATAGCCGACATTTTTTAACATAAATATTGTAAAGTAAATCAAATGAATATTTTAATACCCAATGCAATTAATCATACAAAATTAGAAATGCTGTTATAGTTTTAAAACACCATTGCATATAATGTTATTGATACAGCATTGATCAATAAAACATTTTAACATTATCATCATTTGTCTAAAAATAAACAATTTGATKTGTTTGTGTATAACATCAAATACTGGTAGCAGATGGTAAATTAAATTATAATTATTTTTTATCATTTGAAAAATATAAATGTGATTTTAACATACTAATGTTAGCTATATAAATTAGGAAGTAGGTATATTGATCGTAATATGATGTTTTTGAACATTTGTGAAACTAGTAGACGTAATTATCTGTATGCTATTAAGTGCAATACAAAAGTGTTTTATACTATTTTATGGTATAATATATACAAACATCAATTACATGAAACATAATGTCTGAGTGACTGAGTGTATTCTCAATATTA